GCTTGTGAGTAGTCAGGTTGGCTGCAGAGCCACCGTAGCTTTGTTTCGGGGCACCTTCGGGAAACCCATCAGATTTTCGGGAAGCCGGCAGACTTCTGCCCTTGGCTTTGCAAGTGATTCCCTCACAGGTGCAGCCTCACCAAACTAGTGAGGCAACCTGGAGTATCGGTGATTCCGCACACAGCGGCAAACAGCTGCCACCATTGCGGCAAACTCCGAACTCGAGCTTGGTACTCGAAACAGTCGCGATGCAGATTTCCTTAAGCAGCTGGCCTTGACCAATTGACCGACTTGTCTCTCCTGTTGACGCGATTCGCATACGTTTTGCCACCCAGGTCACATGTCATTGCCGTTGTCCAGGGGTGGCTGCAGGCCCACAGGGTGCAGTGACCGACAGGAGTGTGCGGCGCGAGGATGGAAATGAGCTGGGCAGCACAGAGGCTACCGAAGCCAGGCAGACCCCCAAGATGAGCCTGTGCAGAAATTCGTCCAGCCTGCCAAGAAGCCATCCAAGCAGTGGTTTGTCAGAAATGAAACCCTTGCTGGATCCGGGAACGGCTTAATTAGCGAAGAGCGAGACGCAGTGGCCAAGCCAGCGTGACAGGCAGCAACGTCGAATTCGCGTGGCGGTGCGCTGCCAACAACATACAGAACATACAATCAGAAACCATGCGATGTATCAGTCTGTGCTAGTGACTAGTGTCATTGCTTACGCTAGTGTGTAAGGGCGGTCAACATGCAGAGGCTTCTGCTAATGTCGAGAACTGCGTAGTGGTTAGTGTGTTTAGTATTATCTGTTTTAGTTTTCACATGACAGGAGGTCTGACCGGAAGCGCCTGGGGTGGGCCAACTACACCGCATCGCCTTTGCGCGCGAATTGAGCAGGTCTGGGCATGCCGTGGTTTTAGAGCTGTGACACAGTGCATATAGCTGGCTGATGCTCTCTCGAAATTTCAACAGCTGGACATCCTGTTCCCCAAGCGTTCAACTCCTAATTAAAGATACTAAAGTCGGAGTTGCGAGAGTGCCTCACCGCCGCGTGTATAGCGAGCGGCGAAAGAATCTAAGAAGCTGGTGCGCAGTTGCATGGGGTTTCCGCGAGAATACCTGCCTTCAACTAGCTAGTTTGAATCGCTGCGCCTTGGTACAGAAACATACATGAAGGACTGAATGAACGCCTTCGCCATATCACTGAGCCGTCATGACAACTGCTGCTGATTTCTGCCCGATAATCTCGCTGGCTGTTCGGCTCATGCAAAAGTCTTTGTTTCACTATGTCAGGCCTTTGTAGCTTTCTCTGGGTGTTTGTATCGGTTGGGTGGGGAGCTCATGTGCGCCGGGAGGGCTCGGCCCAATGCAAGCCACTCTGCGAGCCTCATTGCCCGCAATCCTCACGAACTGGAAAGCCTTGCTTGCCTGTGGCTGCTTCTTGCCTGAGTCGGGTTTCATGGACCGACTCCTTCATTTGAGGGAATGTCGGAGCGCTTGCTTGGCTTTCCTGTGTTCGTGAGAGGACGTTTTTCAAGCAGGAGTGGCCCGAAACATCCCGTTAGCAACGGCCGCAGGTGTGAGCTTCGGTATGGTTATCGAGAGGTCCCCAAAAGCCTTCGGAAGCCGACGAAAACACCCACCTAAGACCTCTCGAACAGCTCGAGCTCGAAACCCAGGCTTCTTGGCCTTACAAGACACAGAGGACATGGTCTACGGACGCCTGGTTGCATCGCAGAGGCCGCCTTATTTTGCTTGTGCTTTTGGCGGCCTTGCTGTCCGTTAGGACCGCGCTTTGGCTGTGGGGCCTAGCTCCCGAGCTTTGTGTAGGCCTTGTTTTCCTGGTGTGTTTGCGGATTTTGTCATGGACTATCCGATGGGCAAGTCCCAAGTGCCAACATGAGTCAAGGACCTAGGTGAGCGGATCGTACGATCTGCCACCCCCTCGCCGAAAGCCAACGAGGATGCCTGTGGGGGCTACCAAGATGCGACAGAAGGGTTCTTAACAGGGGGCTCCGGTTTCATGTTCTTTCGTGGGATGCGAGAATTTTTGTTCGTTTCTCTGAGGGTGTGGGGGCAAGCCTTTTGGCCGTGCTCCTGAATGGATCCCACCAGTATTTGCGGGAGGAAAGTGCGTCATGTCTCTGAATCCCGCCAGTATGTGAAGGGGAAGCAGTTTGGCCGTGCTCTGGGATTCCGCCCGGGGGTGGAATCATGTCTGAGGGGAAGAAGAAATGTTTGGGGAGGGGCGAAACGGAGGGTTTGTACAAGGGTTTATTCTAGAAGGTTTAGAGAAGGGCCATTTATGCTTTTGCAGAGGGGTTTGTAGAACGGTGTATAGAGGGGTTTTGTGGGATGGATTTACGGGCTGATGGATGAAAGAGTGAATGAAGGAATGGATGAATGACTGGATGCAAGTATGCATGGATGCATGCGCGAATGGATGAATGAACGGCTGCATGGATGGATGAATGGATGGACGGACGCGCCGAGGGAGGGATGGATACTGAAAAACATTAAGCGCTTTCGGGACACTCGTTCTTTGGCTCTTTTTGCTTCGGCGGCGGTCATGGTCCTGCCGGCAATTTCGAGAGAGGGATGCTTGGGACGACGCCGGTGATCCACGGGTGATGCTTTGGGTTTAGGGTTTAGGGCTCCTGGCCCTGAGGCTTCAAGCTCTTCGGGGACTCGGCGTGGTGTCTGGCTGCCTTTGCCGATGCCCCACCTGGCCTTCAAGGCCCCTGGGCCCCGGGCCCTTTCTTGCAGAGCAACAGGGGGCCTCTGTGGGCTTCCGGGCATTTTTCGGAAGGGCGGGGGCTCTGTGCCTAAGCGCCGAAAGCCAAGCCTCCTTTTTGAGTAAAGGCGGCTCACTGGGGCCGGGCTCCCGCCCCAAACCGAAACCGGAGGCCTCTCCTTTGGCATCGAGGAGAGGGACCTGTGGAGCGAACCTGGGCTTGCACCTCAAAACAAAATCTCCCTGAAGCATGTTTTTGTGGAGTGAGCTGGAATTTCGATGGGGGTTGCATGTTGGAGCTGGGCATGGGCATTTTCTGGTTTGGGGATGTTGAAGATTATGACTAGGCCCGGAATGTGTGATTTCTGGTAGGAGGAGAAGAGACCCAGGAGGAAACCCAAGCCAGGAACTGATGTCGATGGACAGTCAGAGGAATCCTGTTCTAAACCACGACATCTTCGAGAGGACTTTACTTGAAGCTAGCTCAACACCTGCGTTGGCGATGGTCGTGTTTTCGCCTTCCCAGACCCCAGAAGGAAACCATGAGCAATTTCTTCCACATGCCCACGAAGCTCTACGATTGCTTTCAGGCAGCGTGGGTGGGGTCGGGTCTGTCTTGAGCTCGACCCGAAACCCCAAACCCTAAGTTCGGAAGCCCCAGCGCCAGGATCCCAAGAAGTCACCACCACTCTCCATGACTGCGCCGAATGCTGCCGGCCCTTGTCGTGGGAAACAGTCCCATTGCTACGATCCTTGGAACTGATCCTTGCATTGATGTTCTGAGCAAAGTCCGACGCAGAGGGCCTTATGTTAAATGTAGCGCGTGAAAGTGCAGGGGGGTCGGAGAAGTCTCTTTGCTCAGAAGGGTAGCTGCATGCGCGGTTCAGCCGGTGACTGTGGACTCAGTCTCAGGAGACTCCGTATCAAGCCTTCCGCACCTGCCTGGGGCCGGACAGCGGCGTGCTGGAGGGGCGGAACTACACCACCCTTGCTGAGTTGCTGCAAGGGCGGGCTCCTCTTTCAACGCACGTGAAGATGGACGTGGAAGGCCCTGCAAACGGGTGAAATATGGGTTGTTTTCCGAGCCGCAGTTGTTCGTTGGAAGGCTCTGAGTGGTCGGTGCTGGAGGCTCTGCTTGAAAATGCGCCCGACCTTGCGAAGATTCGGAGCCTCGACATGGAGGCTCTCTGTTGCCGATTCGGAAATCAGCTGTCCAGAGACTAGTTAGAGATGCAAGAAGGACCATCGAAGGAGTGCACGAGGAAGGAGGAGAAGAGGTTTATAGCAGAGCAAGACGGCACGAGGCACACGACATGGATGCTGGCACAAGATAAGTCATGTTGGGAGCCGTGCATAGACGAAAACATATTATGCAAGAGACAGGTCCACTTCGGCTTCGCTGCGGCTTCGGAGGCTCAACGGCGCCAGAAGAACCCGGAAGAGGCCTTGCGGCGAGAGGCCACACGTGGGAGCAGGGCACGTTCCTCTCCACATCTCTCAACTAACTTTGGAAGACGCTGCGACTCTGAATGTAAAGGTTGACATCTTCGAGAAGCTGGCCTCCAGATTCCTCGCGGTGGGCAGCAACGTCGAGACCAACGCGCAAGGCGCGCTGGTCGCGTCGAGTCTAAAGCCCGTATGTCAAATGTGTTTTATTATCTTTTTCTGGGGGGTCCCGTAGTCCCTGGGTGCGGGAAGGGGGTTCCGGAGCTCTGGGGCCCTTTTTGAAGGCTGGGATCCAGTGTCGTCGTGCTCCAGGGCGCTTTGCGAGGAGCCTCTTGTGCACACCCGCGGCGGCTTTCCGGTGAATCAGTTTGCCGTGAGCTTCGTGAATCCCGCGCTAGTGCAAACCTGGCGGAAAGCAAAGCTGGCGCTGGAAGTGGGGGCCCACGGGGTTGAAGGCGCGATGTGATCTCCGCCGCGGAGAAAGAGGTGCCAGAATTATGGAGGATGGAGCATTATGTCGTAGCGCCCGTTGACCCGTGTTCCGCAGACTCAGTCCATGTGATAAGTCCGGAAGGAGGGCCTCAGTAGGTTCTGGCTCGAAAGTGTGTTGGATGCCTGTCACAGACACCTAGGGACCCAGAGTTCGGGATCCAAGCCTCTCTTGACATTCCCTAGTATCGTTGCCATCCTTCACGGATAGGGCCAAGTTATCACGAAGGCATCTCGTTCGGGAAAGGCGGGATTGCAGGAGAGCGCTTCACATCGAGGTACAGTGAATCGCTACAAGGTAATAGAAGTTGTGTGCGATGCGTCTTTCGCCGTCGCTGCAGGTCTTTGGCCTCAGAGCCGTAGTAGGATAGCGAAATGAGGTGCCCTGTTAGGACGGCCACGGAGAGAAGATCTTGATTTGGCTTCGGAGGCAGGCATGGCAAACGGCGGAGGAACACCGCTAGGTCCAGTGTCGCAAGCTCTGCTTCGGAGACCCAAAAAGAAGGTACGCGGAGTGCGGAGCCTAGGCCGGGCATCATACCTGCACCGTATCTGCTAAACTAACCATGTCCGACGGCTCCTCTGCCATGCACGAGCCTGTCTGGGTGCCAGCGGCGCTTACGGCCGTCACCGGCTGTCTTGGAGTCTCAACCTGCAGTTATGCGGCGGAGACCCCCGAGTACGTCATTGGGCTCTTGATGTCCCAAAATCACAGTCAGGTGGTCCGACTTGCTTCTTGCCATTCGAGAGTTCTCGTGTCACTGGCACTGGTAGACTCGTAGACTCGTAGACTGGTCTTTGGTTCCAGGATATGCCGCCCTTTGCTGGGCCTCCGGCTTCCTGCCTGGCCAAACCGACGTGTCGGCCACGGGCCAGGGTGGCGGCTATGGCCGTGCGGCCCGGAGCTCAGGACCAAGGCTCAAGCATTGTTTTGAGGCACAGGCACGGGTGTTGTGCTTTGAGGCACTGCTGCTGCTTCTGCACGAAGCCTGGGTGACGTTGCAGCATGGCAACGTGCTGCTGAACCCCTTCTGCCAACGCCTAGATCGAAAGTACGGCATCTCCATGCTGCAGAAAGGCCGCTTCGGCTCGGCTCAACAAGCTTCTTCAGATTTGTTTCTCTTCCAGAGGTTGAGGCTTGGTTGCGGGATCACTGCCACGGCCGTCCAAGGCCAGCACTGGGTGATCGCGAGCGTGCTGGTCATGTACTGGGCGCGGGAGGTCGCGAGTATGCTCCTCAGCAGCCTTAGCACTTGGGGCTTGGTCCTTGGGCTTGCGGTTGCTTTTCGACTGGTCCCTCGTCTGAGACGCAGGCTTCTATGCTTGCCGTACATCTCTGTCTACTCACAGATTGCTGTGTTCGTCTCCGCCGTCTACCACACTGTGACTGATCCGCAAGGCTGAAGGTCTCCTAGCAGAAGTCAGAATCAGCGAGCTATTCTCAGCCTGCGTAGCTAGCTACACGTAAGAACTTTCGCCTCTTAAACATCCCGCTGCCCACCCCAACAATATGACTGCTCGATTGCAGTCTGCCCCATACTGGCCGCGCACCTGGCGTGTCACCCTGGAGAGTGCTGTGCAGTTCCTGCGGCCGGGTTATATGTAAACTCAGTGCCAGCCCACTATTTTCAGCCTCACCCAACAGTGTGCGGCGAGAGGCCCCTTGACTGCTCAGCTAATGAGCCGGATTGCGGACGCGATGAGCTTTGTCTAGGTGCACTGGGTGCTCTCTACCAGGACCCTCCTTGACCCTGAAATCAGGGAGATATGGTCCCAAATAGTAGGCATTTAGAGTCTGATAATAGAGGCTAGATGGAAGGTCTGGGTAAGAGAAGTGACGGCTTTGAATTCACAAGCCTTGGCGGAGTGGAAGAGCTTTGGAAGCCTGGCCTTCAGCTCAGGTAGCAGAAAGAATAGAGAACTCCAAGGCTAAAGCAGCATGAGCTACTGCCCGCCGTCCCCTCCCGCTGAGGTGAAGATGTTCAACATTTGTCTGGATGCCCATCGGCCCCCCACTTGCAATGCTGGAAAGCCCTCTCAAGCCCGCCCAAGCTCGCGGCAGACGCCCTGCACTCCGACTGGGCCCTTTCTCAGGTGCTGGTCCCCAACGCTCGGGATCATGAAGCTCCTGACGCTCGGATCTTCAGCCTCGCCCCGCTGGGGCTCCGAACTCCGAGCCGCAAACCCACAAGCAATCCAAGCTCTGGTGATGACTTGGGGTTTGCGCTCGGAAGCCGGTCTGCCAAGGATCGACCATTGGCATTTCTACACACTTGGAACTCAGCTTGTGAGCCTGCTCCGATTTGTCTTGCATCTTGTCTTGAGTTCATGCGCATGTACAACCTTAACTTTGAAGATGATGAAGCGCCGAAGGAGGAGGATAAGGGGTTCCTGTTGCCTCCCTTCAGTCATGCCCAAACATATCCAAACACAACAAGCCCGACGGTGCACCCAGGCAGGGGTACGACACCATGGTGCATGCACCTCGGTATCAGATACCGGTATCAGTTCAGTTTCATTCAAAACTTTGCAAAGCTGTCGAATTGAAAACCTTGGCATTGGAAGACTCAACAACACTCAGTTCTAAACAAGGCATCGCAGGAATTTGATTGTGTGGTTTGTGTCTTTCTTGAAAGAACATGAAGCACATGCCTGAATGTTCAATCGTTGCGACAGATAGTTTTTGGCAGGGAGATGTTGTGCTTGCAGTTTTGGACTTGATCCGAGTGCATCGGTCCAGCGCCAACCACACACGGCGTTGTTTGAGCTGCCGTAGGTTTTCATTGTCAGCGACCTGATTCACCACGGCGGACTGGGAACCGGCTACGTTTGGTGGCTGCATGTGTTGTTCCTCGTTTGGCTCCTGCATGCTGTTCTGAACCAAATATCGCAACAAAGCACGTCCACGTTGGTTGTGGAATCTTGGCGGTACATCCTGGGCTTCCACGCAAAGAAAGCTTGCAATGACACGAGCTGCCACTTGGCGGCCCTGCCCGGAAACTCCTGCGTCGTTTGCGAACTGCTGAAGGAAGACAGCAGCAAGAACTGGAAGGGCAAAGCAACATCGAGAAGGACGTCGGAGCAGAAGCAGATTCTGGCTGCAACGTTTACCATCCAGATTGGTGCTGTGATGTATGCTGCCATCCTGTTTTACATGGATGTCTTGCGCTTGGGTGCCGGGTTCCAGGAGAGGTCCTGAAGACCAAGCAGAAAACAACTTCTCCTTATTTTTTGCTTTATCTTTTACGTCTGTTTTCCTAGATGCTTTTGGGCCTTCATTTCGGGATGCATCGAGGGCTGTCTAATTCCAGCTGCCTCTGTGGAGCACCCGCAGGAAGGCCTGATTCGGAACGATGTGCTCTTCTTGCATGAGGCCCGGGTATCGGAAAAGCGTGAAGCGAAACTTTCCACCACGGAGCACGGCCTGCTTGCGTAGTAGGAGCCTGAACTAAGACGTAAAGGAACCGTTGTACGAGGCCTGGGTAATGCTTCAGCACGCCAATGTCCTTCTGAATCCCTTCTGCCAGCGCCTGGACCGTCGCTATGGGGCCTGCTGCACTTTTTCAGAAGCTTTTTTCTCCCTTGCATAGTAATTGGTCCAACCTTTGCTCCGCCCCAGCTCCACCCCGGCTCCGTCTCTGGGGCCCTGTGGGGCCTCAGCTCAGGTCTCCATGCTGCGGAAAGGCCAGCACTGGGTCATCGCGGGCGTCCTCGTCATGTACTGGTCCCGGGAGGCCCGGCCCGGGTGCAGAAGCCCTCCTCTCCGCCTCCCAGAGCCGCAGAGTATCGCAGAGTCCCGAGGTGATCAGCATGCTCCTCTGCCTGGCCTTTACATCGCCGCGGACGCAGCTCGCGATCCTGGTCTCCTCGGCCTACCATTTGGCCACCTGGCCGACATACCACAGAGCATGCCGGGCGTCAAAGGCGAGTGGAACCATAGGCTGGAGACATATGTGCAGAGAACAATAGGTATAATGGAACTTGTAAAAGGAACATACAGTGACAAGGGACATGGCAGCCTTGGTCTCAAAGTCTGGACAGACCAAGCGACAAACTCCTCGGCTCCTCCCTCCGAGGTGAAGATGCACAGCATCTGCTGCGATGCGCAGCGCCAGTGGTCCCCATCGCTTGGAGCCATGGCAGCTCTTTGTGCCGGCGCGTTGGGCAGAGAACGGTTTGTGTCTTTCGCCGGGTTCTGATCAGTCATTCTAGCACCTTTAAATACGCCGGATTTTGAAAAGCCACGAATTATGTTCAAAGCAGCTCCCGGGCTCGTTCCGAAAGCTGGAGAGCATGCCCAGGCGGAGCATCTGGCCTAGACTAGAGTTCCCTTGCAAGAAGCCTCGGAGGAATTATGAGGCTCCTGATTGACCACTGGCACTTCGACACCCTGGCGCAAAGCGCCGTGAGCGCTCTCCGCTTCTTTCTGCAAGGCGGGCGTGGGCTTCTCCGGCTTCCCAGAGCGCCTTGAGGGGTTCGAGGGAGTGCCGTTTTGGGTGTCAACCTCCGTGTGGCTTTGAAGCCCAGATGTCCCCAACATTTTCAAAAGGTTGAGGGAGCCATTTTCCGTCAGGTCCAAGGACCCTTAGACCCTTATAGGTATACCCAAAGTGAAAGCAAGCCTCTTGACTTACGACCACGCAGTTTTTGTGATGCGCCCGGGCCGGACGTGCTTGGCAACCACCACATCCGAGGATTTTCTCAAGGTACTTCTGTATAGTCTCGCCATCGGTTTTAACTTTTAACCTCTGTACAATCCACGATGGCCAGCAGCCGGCTCCTCAGGGACAGGTGTGTGTGTGTGTGTGTTGTGTGTGTGTGTGTGTGTTGTGTGTGTGTTGTGTGTGTGTGTGTGTTGTGTGTGTGTTGTGTGTGTGTGTTGCGTGTGTTGTGTGTGTGTGTGTGTGTTGTGTGTGTGTGTTGTGTGAGTGTGTGTGTGTGTTGTGTGTGTGTGTGTGTGTTGTGTGTGTGTGTGTGTTGTGTGCGTGTTGTGTGAGTGTTGTGTGTTGTGTGTGTGTGTG